GCCAGGTTCTCTTACACTCTCTTTGTAGTCAGATGTACACCAAGATTTATATGGCATTTTCTTGTTTGGAAAACAAACCTATAAAATTCTACAGTACAAGATTTTACATTTTACTAAGAAACTCAGATTCAGAATTTCCCTTATTTTAAGTATATGAACACCAGCTATGCATTTATCTATTAATTCTCCCTTGTAAATCCTGTAGGTATTTACATTATTGGAGATTTTTTTTTCCTCATTACAAAACAAGGATTATTAAAAATCTCACTATAAGAAGTCAATTCTTAAAACAAGAGACAAAGCAGGACCGCAGCTGCAGATACTTCTATGTGATCAAACTTGTCAGTTCAAAAGCATCAGAGCTACAAAAAATTAACTGCTGAATTCTTTAATAATTTATCTTTTTGAAATAGAAATGAGAAAATATAGTTGACAACATGAGAAAAAGATATCTTACTAATTATTTTATGATAAAAAATATAACAGGAAAATGTACTGCAGCATATTTTTCATAGTTTTACATAAAGCACGTAAAGAATCCACATATCCACATAAAAAATGTTTTACAGAAGAAAATTCTAGAAATGCTTTTAAATGGCTCTTTTAGCTATTGTAAACCTATGCTCAGGAAAGCAATTAAAAACACATTCATAAATTAAAGATTTGTATTGTATTGATTGAAAAAGTAACACTGTTTATTTGCATAGTGTCTTTTTCATGGAAGTAATGCATTTCCTGGTTTAGTAGCTAGACAAATCAAATTCTGTTTAAGATGGACTTTACTTAATGTAGCATTGGTGCCATTTCTTAAATTTTTAATTTGGCTTAGCAGAAAACTGCAATATATTGATTTTACAGTATCTTAAGTTATGTGAGCCAGGGTTGACAGTGAAATTTCCAAAAATGTCTGATAGAGTAATATTTGGAGGCTAATAAATGTCCAATAAATATACTTTCTAAAGAGTAAAAAAAAAAAAAGCCTCTTAAAACTCCTTCTTTCAGTTATTTCAGACATACTTCCTTTCAAATCATGAACATAAAAATCCAACAGACTTACCAGATTTCCAACTGAAAGTACGTTATTGAATTCATCAGTCATCGGGTAATGTTCCATAGCCATAAAGAGTGTATTTAAAACAATGCAAATTGTAATAGCCAGGTCAACAAATGGGTCCATTACCACTAAGTTGACGATATGTTTTATTTTCAGCCAATGCGGACTGCAGTCCCAGATCAAGAAAATATTTGCAAATTTATACCAACATGGTGGGCATTTCTGTCTTGATTCTTCGAGTTCTGTGAGAAAATAAATTTCATATGGGTAACTATGCAATTGCTCTATTAATCTCATATGAATTTTACCAGTCAAGTCGTCAATCTGAACTGGTACTGATTAACCTCCTATAAAGCATGCCCTTTATACTTTTTTTATGGGGATTTTCAATAAAGTCTTTGAAAATTGCTACCAAATGTATTTATTTTGTTCAAAGCTTATCTGTGAAGCACAACTTCTTTGTAATCCAATCACTGTTCTAATCAGTACCAGTTTATGCACCAATTTGTAGTATGTATTTTATTGTTCATTGATTACACTTCAGCCTGTTCTTCCCACTTACTTTTCTATTACGTAAATATTTTTTATTTTTAAATTTATACTGTTTAGGCAAAAAAATTCAATATAATTTTCATTCCTACTTCAAGAAAAAAAAATTATAACCTAGAATAGCACTTCTTTACAGAGTAACTGAATAAATACAACTGCTAAAAATACATATATTTTTTATCAATAGTTGCATATCTTTGAAAAATTTTAAGTGGCCCAGTAATATATTTTCAATTAATATGCATAAGCATCCACCCAGTTATGACCATCAAACATAACGTTGTAGTCCTGATGACCACATGAGGTAGATAGTGGTAAAACAATGAGATAGAAATGCTTAAGTTGTATTCCTTAAGGAATAAAGAGCTTTGAGTTTACTGATAAATATGTGTCGGTTTGTGGGTTGGTGTCTGTTAATTAAGCTATTTAAAATCAGTTGTTAAATTTCAACTCAAATTTTTAGAAGTCCATAGAAAAAATAATTAAATATTAAGCTATGCATAGCACACACCTTCCACAGTGTTTGTGAGGATGCTAGCAATACTCATGGCTCTTTCCATTAAAGCTGGATCTTCCAGAAAGTCCATAGAAACGTGGAAAGAGCTTGATATTCTCTTCCTCATTTCTGTTTCTGTAGTGGTACCCTATACAGAGGACAACAATAGGTGAGACCATGTTGGAGTAATAAGATAAGCAAATACTGTATAGAACCCTGTTATTAATGCCTTAGCTTGGATACGTGCTTCATGCACTTCACTTTTTATCATGTCAGACTTTTATTACTTCTTAATATCTTTTAAAGTATTTTTAGAAGATATGAGGCAATAGTTATCCAGTGCTCAAGACTGAGAGTTTATTTACTTAACTTTTGCATTTCTTACTTTCAAGCTATGAAAAAGTATTTAAGCAAGTGGAAAAAGATTGAGTTCAAAATATTGTATACAATTTTTGCAAACTGTAACTTTTTTCCTTGCTCCTGGGGTGTGTAACATAATAGTCTTTTCCCCTAGGCAAACTGTAGCAAGTAAGAAAAGTCTGACTTCCTCATGCTTCCTCATGCTCGTATTTTTTTAATAATGTGAGTAGACAACTTTGAACTACACAAGAAATCTTTCTGAGACATCTTCTTTCACCTTGTATATGGTAAGAGAACGGCAGCAATATGTTCTGCACATATATTCACACAGAAATCTGTATTTTTGGAAGTATGTATTGAAATGTGATATTCCAATGAACCATTTGTTATCTGCACTACAGAACTCCACAAGCAACAGATGGAAAATATATAGGAATGTGAAATAAATGACAATAAAGAACTGACAACTCCCTTACATTTTTAATAGGGCTGATAACGAGGAATGTTATCAAAATTAACTAATAACGCTAATTTTGATAACAGCATCATCATATTGGTTGAAGTTATATGATAATATTTTTGTAGACAATTTTCAATCATATAGTAACTATGATTTTGCAGACCATAGCCAGATGGACCTTTAGATCAGCGAAAGTAAAGTACAGCACAGTAATACAGTAAAGCACAGTGCTTTTATGAACGTGTATGTTAATATTTTATTACTTGGAAACTGTGAATTGCATTTGTTAGTAATGAGAATATTTGTAAGTAAATGCTTAGTCTGCAAACCTATGTTAGCTGTTTTATTTATTAAAGATTTTACAAGATGCAGGAGCATTCACAGCTTGACCAACCAGGAAGCATTGCCAAGGGTTCCATTCTGTAGAAAACACTGGCTGGTGCAGTAAGAAAAGGCCACGATGCCTAAGCTATTCAAAACTTTCTTACATTGTCATCAGTAGCTGGTTTATCTATTATCACCTCTGGCAGAAGCTGTCCAACAGGCGATGTAGGAACAGATGGTCCACCAACCAGGGAAACCACCCCATTGCAATCCACAGTGCTGTGCATCTTCCCATTCACTGGAAACACTGCCAGCATCCTGGATGACCTACTGGCCTGACTAATGTTACTGTTGCGCCGTTCACCATGTCTGCGCGGCACAAAGAGAGAATCTCTTCTGCTATCATTGTCTTCAAAAGTGCTGTGCTCATCATCAGCAAAGTCATTTTCTGATCCTATATCCTTTGCTCTACCTCTGAAGCTGAAAAGACTTGTTCTGCTGTTGCGCCTCGGAGAAAACAGGGAGCCTCGAATGCTCAGCAAAGACTGCAGGCAAACAAAATTTGTGATTATTATATGAAACCTTCTAACTTAACATTGTTATTAGGTGAGCATAGGTTTTTTTTTCCCTTACATGACAGTAACCATTTTTCCCAGAAGCTAAATGCTGCTGTGAAATTTTTGTATGTATTTAATTATATTTATATTTTGCAGATAGAAACACCACTGTTCATGGATTCTTAAAACCAATTTTGAGCACTCCTTTCACCTGATGTCAGTTACAGTTGCTGAGTAGAGTAGTCGCACAATACCCATCAAGCAAAAACCAGAGTCTATACATGCACATTCTTTCATGTATGCAGCATCCTGCACATATTGAACCAACCTCCAGACATCATTGAAGCAGGAGGAAAATATGAAGTTATCATAGTGGAAAAATACTGTAATATTTTAATAAGTCTAGATAATATCCAATCACTATTAAAAATCCCATGGAATCAGGGAATATTTGAATATGATTTTTAAACAATTCTATTACAAGAAAAGAGTTATGAGGTTGCATTTAATTCTCCATGGTTTTGTACAAGATAATCTAGCAGCTACAGCACTTTCTTTCAAGCACTAGCAACAATAATAAAGTTTAATGAAAATCTCAGTGTTTCCTTTCTTTAGGGAGTAGGGTCATATTACAGTGCTAGGAAGACTAAAATAGTTTTGTAACAGCCTATGATGCTTAAAATGTATGCTTCTACAAAAAATAACTATATGCAATACCTGATGTGGAGAAGAATACTTCTTTTCATATGTCAGTCTATTGCCTTCAATAGATAATCGGAAACCTTTCCTTCTGATGCTGTCTTCTGATTCAGACTTGTGAAATTCATCTTCATCTTTTTCCTCTCCTCCAGACTGCTCCTTCTGTTTTCTTTTTTTCCTTCTATTTCTCCTCTCTTTTGCACTCTTTGAGCTCAATTTTGATGCCTCTGAGGAACTCTCTGAGACCCCTCCTGCTTCTCCCCCAGCGCTGGGCTCCCTGGACTCCGCAGATGCTGTTACTGCTGCTGCTGCCACTGCTGCTGCCTGCCATATTGAAGAATGAATTTGTGTCACTAAGGAAACCACAACACTGTGTTTTTTTAAAATTTACTGATACAGAATTTCTAGTCCAAACTCCCTAGATCTTAACACTTTCCGTAGGACATCCTCTCCCTAGTTTTTTTCCTAATTTTTATTACTCAGTTGACTCAATATATGTGTTGGTCATAGCCTTCTCCCATCTTTCATGAGTAGTTTTTAAATGCAGAAGTCTAACAGACTGTATTTATGACACTAGACTAAGAAAACCATAATGAATAATGTATACCTAATTTTGAGCATTCCTTCTTGATTATGGCTGGATCATTCACAGTACAATGTCTTTAGTGCAGAATAGAAAATCTCTGAGCTAGCTCTGTTGTTGAAAGCCCAACAAGGTGTTGTGTAACTCCAAATTTAGAAAGCACAGGGTGAATATCTCTAGTAAAATTAGTTTCATACACTTCAACATTACTACACCATAAATTATACCTGAGCTGCTTCCTGTTGCTTCTTCAGTTGTTCCAGCATCTGTTGAAATTCTGCCTCTTTCTGTTCTGCTTCTTCCATGGTTGCTTGATTCTGTTCTTCATAGGCCATGGCAACCACAGCCAGGATCAAGTTGATCAGGTAGAAAGAACCCAGAAAAATCACCAGAACAAAAAAAATCATATATGTTTTCCCAGCAGCACGCAGTGTCTGGAAATAAGAATACATTTATAAGCAAGAATAGGTTAACAAAAGTTCCATTTTTCATACTGTTAAAAATTAAGATAAAATAAGAAAATTTATTTTAGGCCTCTCGCATTATTGGTACAAACATATTTAGTCTATTTGGCATTAAAAAATTCTCACCAGTTGATAAAGGTTTTCCCAGAAGTCTTGAGTCATCAAGCGAAACAGTGACAAGAAAGCCCAGCTGAAGGTGTCAAAGCTTGTGTAGCCGTAATTGGGGTTTCTACCAGCTTTCACGCATGTATATCCTTCTGGACACTGCCTACAAAGACAAACTGGGTGTTACCTTATATAGTTATTTTAATATTAGCACCTGGAATGTCCAGGAGAAGATTAGGATTAAAAAGTAGATTTTTCTTTAGTTAATCAGACTATAAATAATAGCAGCTTTTATTTTTAGTAGAAAATTATTTTAAAGGACACTAGAAAAATTAAGTGGGAAAGGCACATAAAAATTAGTGTCAGAAGTTTCATCTAAGCTTCTAAAACACAATATTACAAATAATTCCTTTAATTATTAATGTTGTAACATTAATGTCCGTGTCAGTGTTTTCTACTGTGTGAGACTGTTAGTACTCACATGGGGAGCTGGAACAGCAAAACAACATGTGTTTTCCAGCTGCTCTCTCTTGCTACTTCTCATCCAGGCAGGAGCTACACTAATACCAAATTACTGATTCATTAATGCAAAGACTAAGCTCATCTAACCAAGGCACTCAGCTCTGACCAGGAACGCAAATCCTCAGTCTGGTATAAAAACCTAGTATTTCTTACATGAAAGAAAGTCGTCACTAGAAGTATTGCTCTTCTCCAGCTGCACATCTCAAGAACATGGATGTAATTTATACATGGTGCACAACAATATGATGAAATTTGGTCTTACCCAGCATCAGAACTATTTCCGCAAAGCAGAGCGTCATTTTGCCCTTCCAGAAAATAAAAATGACCTGTTTAGAAAAGAATTTTAAAAAAAATTCTGAATAACAAAGTTTTGTTACAGCTCTATGTAATAAATAGTCCTGCTCTAAAAGTGTTAATTTCAGATGCAATCTTAAACAAGCAGTATTATTTTTACAGCAGGACCATAACTTTAGAGTAAATTACATTACAAACTGAAGTTCACAGCACTCACTGTTAATGCCAAAATGTACTAAAAATTCTTTCAAATGCTGCAGGATGTAGATGCAATGTACGATTCTCCCTTCAGTCTGATCACTGAATCATATAATTTGTGAAATTATATTGTATGGTTATTTATGATAGTAAGTGTATCTGAAAAAATATACTGGTAATTTATTTCAAATTTTCTGATCGGTATTGCCAAGGGTTCCAGTTTGTCACTTACAGACACTCGTGACAGTTATCTAATATGTGAGCTCTGCAAAAAACCATCCAGCTGCCAATGGCTCTGTCACAGGTGCGTGCATACTGCAGTTCGCCTGCTGATTGGTGTGAAGGTCCTGGTACACATCTGAATTTAACTCGGAGAGAATGAGTGCAGCAGTCACTGACTTGTGTAGGTAGGATTTTAGAAATATGTGATGAAATGATTGATCACCTTAGGAAAGAGAAACTGGGTAAGTTCCACCAAATTGCCCTGTAGCCAACCATCCCATAATCTGTATAGTAATCCTGTATTTAAAGGACATTTTAGATGGTTTAAACAACAAAGACATTGACCTGTCTATTCTTAGAAGAATAAAGAGATAATGCACAAAACGTGCTTAAGACTCACTCGGGTTGTATCCTTGAGAGGTGCTTTTCTTTTCCCCTCAAGGTAGACACTTACAATTAAGCTCCTGATTTTGGAAGAATTATCACAGGAGGAGATTCCTCCTGTAGTAGCGATCTCCCATTTGGTCACAGGCTTAAGGCTGCAATTTATACAGGGTCAGACCATGTAGCCCAGTATCCCATTTCCAATGGAGACCAAATGCTTGCCTCAGGATGTCTGTAAGGACAGGGCAGGGACATGATGACACTCCCCTAGGCACCTCCTCAGCTTCCAATACTTCTGAAGCACAGCAGCTTTGGAGCTAAGGTGGTACCTTTTTTGCTTACTGAGAAGATTTAAACCCCCCACTGGATTTATCTTCCATTGCACTGGCCTGCTAGATTCCCTTAAAATGATCTAATTTGAAATGCCACCAGCATAACCAAGTTTAAACTTGACTGTGGCTGTGCCAGCTGTGCTGCCAAGCAGGGTTACCCTGTGTGCGGTCACTGCCGTTCTGGGTTGGTATGCATTGCAGAACTACACTGTGCTGAAACACAGCTGTAAAGTTAGCTGACATGATGCTGACCAGAGCTGACCCCTATGAGACAAATCCTATTCTGCATTATGTCACCTAATCATGATTAAAACATGCTGGAACACAGCAGCTGGTTGGGAAGAATGCAAATCTAACTTGATATAGTTTACATGGAGCAGTCAGTCATGATCAGTACTGCATCAGCTGAGCTGAACTGCTAAAATAGGGGCTGTAGTCAAGTTCTGTGGTTCAGACAAGATGTGTTCTGTAAGCATGCTGTACTTGCCAGCTCCACAGGAAATAATAGCCACCCAGGCTTTCTTTGAGTGCACTGATACAACTGTGAAAAATGCTCAAAATATTATCATGATAGGAAATTTTTTATAACACGAGCTGAGCGGTATAAGCATGTGTACATAATTAAATGCAAAACTCTGAATTGTATTTTACCAAAGTAATGTGAAAAGTCCCTCACTACATCAAAGGTATATGTTTGGCTCCCTTTTATTTGGTTAGGAAATGAGAAAAAATTCCTGGTAGGTGAGCACTTTACTTCAAAGGAATTTACGGTTGTTTGGGTAATGACTGAGAACAATTGTTAGTTCACAAAACAGATTGTGAGATGCTTTTTTTTTTTTAGAAAAAAATTGCCTATGGCAAGCTTGCTGAGATAAAGCTATCCAGCATTAATTTTATCAGACTTGCTATGTTGGAAAAAGAAAAAGGAAAAAAAAAGAATGCTTGGCTCATTAATGCCAGGAGTGCTTCCATAAAGTTTCTATAAACAGTATTTCCAAAAATGAGCTTAGTGGCAAAATTACATGCCTTTTTTGCATAGTATATTCAACTATTGTCATAAAAAACTTCTATAATTCCTACAAAAGACAGTGCCATTGCACTGCTCTGAACTCCATGTAAGTCCCTTCTTATTGCCCTGTGACACAGCTGGTTTAAGAATGATTTCTGTATCCTGTATGCCCACCTGGAAGAAGAGAGCAGGAAGCTGTGAGAAGATAAGTTTTCTCTTTGAAACTGCCGGTAAGCAAGGACAAGCTTATTAAATTCATAATATGACTTATAATTTAATTATAAATTTCGTAATACATACAAAATCCTGTGTAAATACACCAAAGGGTCAAGCAGCTATTCAATAAAGTATTTTCGGTAACTAATTCAACTAAGCTTTGGTTTTGTCTTCTTAAAATTAAATGAAATCAGAGGTTGAGTTTATAGATTGTTGTTTAATAAGCCAGAAAATTAGGTCTGACCTTGAAGTCTAGGTCTTCATTAGGGGACTTGTCTTAGACTTTGTTATACCCTGTGGCATGGGGTCTCTATGAATACATATGTTCAAATAAAGCATGTTTCACAAAAAGATTGCTTCTTGATTTAAGGAATTCAGATGGAAATCCATCACAGTCATTGATCAGCTGTGTGATCACAGTTAGAAGCTGTCTTACTTCTATTTGAAATTTGTCTGGCTTTGACTTGCAGCTATTGAACCTGTTACATTGTTCCCTGATAGATCAAAGACATGTCTATGATGAAATTTCTGTTCCCCGTGAGGTTTTTTTCTCAGCTGTGATCAAATCACCCCTTAAAACTTCTCTTTGATATGCTAAGTAGATTGAGCTCCTGGTCTATATTGGTATAAAGCACGTTTTCCAACACTTTAATCATTCTGCTCTTTTCTGAACATCCTCCAATTTTTCAACTTTCTATCTAAATTGAACTTGATATAGTATTCCAGTAGCAACTGCACTAGTGCTAAATAGAGGGGTAATAATGCTTTCCTGGTCAATAATTTATTTATGTGAACAGGATACTATTTAGCTTTTTGGCTGCAGAGCTTTAGCCTTAATTTACCAGAGACCTGGTTGCTCCAGGTGCCTTAGGTGCCCTAGGGTCTCTCTGTTGCTAAGGACTTTCCAATTGCATTTCTACATTCTGCCTCTCAGTTGCACCTCTGCAACCTTTCATGTAAGCTGCTGTGGCAGTGCTTTCATGTAAGCAACTGTTGCTGTCTGTGACATTATTTTTCCTTTGTCCTCATGCTGTTTTTCATGTTGCTGTTATTCTCATGATGTTACACCTCCAAACACTTTATTGTTATAGCAGATACTCATGGGAAGCAATTGTCTCTGGTGTGAGATTTCCCCTCTTTCTCCCTCTTTTTCCTACTCCTTGCTTGTAGCTTTTGGTTTATATTAGGTGACCTAATAACATGCATGTACGAGCTTACAAACCAACCAGCCACGCAGCACTCACCCTGATCAAAGTGCATTCGTATTAGTGTTAATTGCACTGGAAGCAGGAATAACCTGTAGGGAGTTTGAGGACATGCTAATGAAAAGTACATGGTTGCTATGGGAAAAGTATTATGGAGTGATCACTGCTGCACTGCAAAGGATACCCAGGGGAGGAGACTCACCTGGGGACCCCACCACTTCTCCTTCCAGCTGGCTACTGTTGTTGGTTTTCCCTTTCCCCTTCCCTTTTCCTTCTCTCTCTCCCCTTTAGTTCTTACTTCTCCAAAAGTAACTTCCACTGTTAGGGTTGAGGTATGCCATCAGCTACCATCTGTATGCACGTGAACCTGTCTCAAAGTGAATTGTGCAGCATTGATTTTTAAGATAGGGAGCTTAGGTTTGTAACCTCACATTTAACTGTACTGAAATGCATTTCTTCATCTTTTCTCAGTTTGACAGACTGCTCTGTATCAGCAAAACTGGCTGGAAAAATAATACTTCGTGAAATTATCAAAATGGAAAGATGCATCAGAAGAACTTCTGAAGAGGTTTTTCTGAGATTGCTGCTATTCAAAGTTTTGAAAAATCTAGATGATGGAAGAACTCTTATCAAATTGGCAAGTGATACTGATCTGATAAGGATGGTGGTGAGTTTGAGGAAACAATTACACTTTAAAATATACAGGACAATTGGAGAGATGGTCTGAAAAATAGGGTGCTGTTCAGGCTGGAACAATGAACTGTACAAATACAAAGTGGGAACTCAATGAGATGAAAGTCTGTAAAAGATTCAAGAGGCAGATAGACCACAAGCTGAATAGTATTTAATGATGTTATAATTATAAACAGTGGCAAGCCTTAGCCTAGGATATATTCAACAGAAGTATGAGTTACTATGCTACCACATAACCCTTCTTTACTTAGTATGCCTCCCATGGAGGGGAAATGCCTAGATGTGGGTATTGCACTTTAAGAAGGATGGTTATGAATAAGAAACAATCCAGATGAGAGACCAAGATCTAGAAAATAAGTTGTAGGAGAAAAAGGTTAATGATCTGGGTTGCTTTAGCATACAAAAAAAAAAAAAAACCCACAAAAAACGACAAACCACTGAAAGAGGAGAGAACAGGGCATGGCAACATAAGAATAGTCTCTAAATACCTCAGACACAGTGATTAGTGATGAGGAATCATTTGGTTTTGATGCCTGTGAAGCTGATAAGAACAATGAGCTTAAATTGCAGAAGGAAAATTTGTTAGGCCTTAAAAAAAACCCTAATAATAAGGGCAGTGAAGCACAAAAATGGATAGATGCTGAAAATATTGGGGACTCCATCACTGGTGTCCTCACTGAATGTCAGAAGTCTCTGACATCTGTCAGATATGACATAGCAGTCTGTTGCTGATTTTGCTTTGCAGTATGGGAATGGAAAATGTTTAAGACTATTAAGTAATTTTAAGAACTCCTTTGGATCTCTTTCTGCCTCAGGGGAGATGTGGATTTGGCAGAGGGAGCTGAGAAAAAGAACGGTATCAAGTAGAGAGCCCGTGTTTCTCATTCCTTCTTCCATTCCAGCCTTTGGAACAGATCTATGAGAGAGAGAGAAAAGTTTTCTCCTGCTCCATCTTAACTAAATGTATCAACCCTTCCCCTCCTTATTTCCAAGAACTGGATCAGCCACAAATCACTTCAATAAGAATTATGCTGATGTTACTTACTTTCATCTTCAATGTACCCTTTCCAGTCAAATGGAGTCACTGTTGAATTAACCAATGTACCATTTTCACCTATGGTGCTGTTTAGCTGGGAAGTAATATTTGTTTCCAGAGTAAAATTTTCTGGAGGCCACTGCAGGCATTTGTTCCTCAAGTTGCCCATGAACAGCTGCAGCCCTATTAGTGCAAATACACTCAGACAAAACACAGTCAGGATCATTACGTCCGAAAGCTTCTTCACAGATTGAATTAGGGCTCCCACAATAGTCTTCAAGCCTGCAAATGCAAAGGAAGTTTTACTCTGATGTTCAAAACTTTTTTAAAGCATAAAACTGGCAGTGTCTTCCAGTAAAGTTATAGATTTCATGCAGAAGCCCAAATAAATGATCATAATGTCTGTGAAATAACATTTTTGTGAAGAGCTTTTTCACTTGTGAAAATGAATAAATAGCTGAAATTTATGTTCATTTGAAACTGTGAATGGAATGAGTTGCATATACTTCAAAACACTTGTTTTTATGTTAAAACAAGTGACTTTTTAAATTCATGATGTCCATGAATCTCACATAAAAGTATTCTTTCTTTTTATTTGTCAATACCTCTTGCCCCAAACCTTTGCTACAATCAGTTTTATAACATACTAGATTTAGAAGACAGTAGTAAAATGCCTGTTCAACAATAAATAGGATTAAAATTTAATGCTATAAAACTGGAGATGGTTTGGAAAATTGTAGAATTTTAAGATAATAAATCCCCCATGCAATGCCCATGCTATTCTTTATTATCTTATTCCTTCATCTTCTTACTAAGTCAACATTACAAACAGTTCTATATTTTAGACACAAATATTCACAACAAATAACACATAACGTCATGTAGGTAAAATACACATGGGTAAACAAACTTCAGGGTTACTGATACTCGTTGAATGTGAAGAAGAAAGCTTGACATCTTATGATGCAAACCACACACGCTGTGTACTGCAATGTCTCATGCAAGAATCTGTTAAACTCAAAGGCTGATTTCAAAAGGAAACAGTTCACGTGAAAAAGCAACGAATCAGAGATTTCAGTGAATTCTAATATCTTCTGATTCCTGCTTTTTTTTTTGTGGAAAGAAACAAGACTTATATTAAAAAAAAAATGAATTAAGTTCCAGTGAATTAAAGTCAGCCTCAGTGTTTAACCTAGCTCTCACCTGGAATGACTGATATTGTTTTCAAAGCTCGGAGAACTCTGAATGTTCTCAACGCTGAGACATTGCCCAGGTCCACAAACTCTGTCACATATCTGTAATAGGGGAGTTCACACACAAACACAATGACAGGATAAAAAGGAACAGTTGGGAGATACGAGGGGCCTAACACCTTACACCAACTACTTCTTACCTGGGATTACAGAAATAGTTTTCAAAGCTCTCAATACTCTGAAAGTTCGAAGAGCTGAAACATTGCCTAGGTTTACAAATTCTGTTACATACCTGTAGGATTAAATCACAGTTATTCAGAATTTAGGCAAAGTGTATGCTGCTTACTTGGGTCTTTCATCAAGACCTCTCTGGCGTTTTTAGCAAAAAATTAAATAGCAACAGTCAGAGGTTTACCTTTCACTGCAGTTTGCCTTGCATTAATACGCTTTCAGAGCCTTCAGTTAAATTAAATGTCTCTGAAGTGAATCACAGTGATTTAACTTTGAAAGCCTAAAATTTATCTACACTAGATTGGTAAGTTTGGAGAATGAGGTCAAAGGGATGCTCCTTTTCTGCTCAGAGAAAAAAAAACGCAGGACATGAAATTAGCCTCTCTAATACTAGCTGTACTAATGGCTTCTGCAGTATTTATGTCTACATCGAAATATGCATATGAGAATGTGAAAATTGTTTTAGACAAAAGTAAATCCATACCAGAATTTCCATTTAATGAAATTGATATGTATTGATACTAATTTCATGCCCTTTTTTCCCTTCACTTTCAAAGAAAAAGCAAAAAACAAAAACTTACGCAAAGGTAATGACAGTGAAATCAAGCCAGTTCCATGGATCTCGAAGAAAAGTAAAATCTTCTAAGCAAAAGCCCCTTGCAATGATTTTTATGAGTGACTCAAATGTGTAAATTCCAGTGAACGTATATCTGGAAAATATAGGAACATTTAATCAAAATAATCAATATTTTACATTGCTATTCTGATTAAAACCTCATGATCAAATGAAAGTTTTTTTTATTTTAAAACTGGAAAAGAAATACAGAAAATAATCAATTTATTCTAAAATGCATTATGTTTATCACATATGCTTTTGTATTTACATGCATTAGTTGTGACATGCTGTTGAAGTACAGCAGTCCTGATCTTGCACTAAAACAATAATAAAGAAATTAATCAAATAAATGACATATTAAAAACTTATTGGTGACATTCAGTTTAAAAGTATGCCACACCAGATCCATTATTGTTAACCAAGAATGTTGTGAGCATAAGTTACTGGATACTGTCTGAATCACTAACAACTAAACCAGCTAGTATTAACTCTGAAAAGGGAAGAATGCAAGCATGCACTGAATTCTCACTTTAGTAATATTTTTGCTTATATGCTGTCCTTAACTCGTGCACAAATAGATGGCCATGGTTCTGCGAATAATGCAGCGGCATAAAGGAGGGGTAAAAACACTAGGTAGATGCTAAACCATGAAGATGAGAAAAAAACAATGGAATCTCAGTAGGATACTATCTGTAAAAAACTTTCATTTTTTCTACCCAATTGTTCTAGTAGAAGAAGATTTAATAATTATCCAGCATTTCTACATAGTTTAGAGAGGAAATAGTAGTAGCATCTCATGATAGCTCCTGCTAGCACACATGACTGCAGTTACAGGCATGCTGACTCCTGGAGGAACAGTCAAATGTATCTTTAAATAACAGATGCAACTTACTCTACATTCTTTGTCCAGTCTGGAGGGTTACTCATGGTCATGAATACACAGTTGGTCAAAATAGTGCACATGATAAGCATGCTGAATAATGTAGACATAGTTAAGGAAAACACAACAGTAATTTATACAATATCACATCAGCCACATATCTTAAGTACAGTAAAATATTGCCCCTTACACAAATCTTTTAGACTTTGGTAAACATTGCACATATATTTTGCTTAACCTGGTAGTTTTCACTTTAGCACATTAAACTTTAATACTAGTCCTGATCTGTTGATGTTCTGATGTTTATTTGTTGATGTTCTCATGTTTTGTTTCCAGCTGGTACTGAAAGGTGAAGGAGATGGCTCGCACACCTGGGAGGCAACATGAGCTGAACAACCAAAACTGCCATAACTTACAGAAGAATACTGCTTTACTTAAGTACCTGACATGACTGAATAAGCGTTAGCCTTTCACTTCTACAGTTTTGGTACTAAACTCAACAGCTGGGATATGCAAGGTAAAAGTAGTTTATCCTATTTACCCTGAGTCAGAGCTGCAGAGATAGCACATACCACCCCAGCACAGCCAGTCTGCCAAAAACACAGAAAAACACAGAATACTACTTGCATTTGCTGAAGTGACTGTATTCCAAATTTCCCTATCACTAGCTTAGCAGTAACAAGTGAAATAGAAATCCACAGAGAGCTCATGGATTAAGGTGAATAATTTTCCAGTATTATTTTTGGGCTCTCTCAAAACATGTGTTAGCAGGAAAAGAAAAATCTCTTGTTATACCAATGCTATAAATCAAAAATGGTTCCATAGTGCCTTGTGGTCAACTGCTTGAAAAGCATGGAAAACTGGTGAAGATTAAAATGAAAATTATTTTTTATTTAGAGTTCTAGCAAGGAACAAATAGGTATTCTGGGACTATGAAAACGAGACTAACAACTCAAAAGGGCTTGTGGTAGGGATGCGGGACAGTCCACTGGGGCTTCATTACACGCAATGGGATAGTCTTGGTTTACAAGGTCACTGGCTCTACAAACAATGCAGTCCTTCCTTTTTTGTGGCAATAAAGTAAACTTGATTATTCGAACATTTCAAAATACTGAAGTAATGAAACTACATCAAAATCTGACTCAAAATGGCCACATGATGGCAGCAAAAAGTAAGAACTGCTCCACCTCTATGACAAACGGTCAACTAATTTTTCCTCTAGTCATCTCTCTAAATGAAGTGTTCCTTAAAAATAGTTGCATCAACATAACTGGCAAAGAACCTAACTTAAATTGAAGAAAGACATTTACAAATAAACTCGTATATAGGAGGCCAGGATTTTTAATTTTTTTTTTTTTTTAATAAATCTGGTAGATAGAATTTTGTCATTTGGGGTGTATTTTTTATGCCAAAAAAATACCATCCCTTGACTCTAGGTGAGGGAGGAATAGGAGAAGTAGCATCTCAGCCTAAACTTTGCAGAAAATTGGTGCAGACATTAAGGTTATCACTTACAGCTGCTGAACAATTCAAACTTGAGCACATCTTTTCAAGTAAACATTCAAATCACAGGGAAGGATTTAGCTGCCTGATTCCCATAGATACTTTTCCCAGTCCAGGGGTTTTGCAAGAAAAGTGCACCAAAGCCTCACCCACTAGAAATGCCCATCAACCTGTTATGAATATCAGGCACAAATCCCGCATGCCAGTCTAAAACTTTACCTTGTGCACCATCCCAATCTATCCACCATCTGCACGTACAGATGCTTTGCAAACCATCTACAGGACTGCTGCCTGTGCTTTCTGGTAAGGTCTTAAATTTGGCAGTGGTTTGTGGTGCAACTGGGCAGGTTTGAGAATGTGAGATTCAGCATGCATGAACCAGGCTTCCAGGCATGCTGCTGCAGCAGACTCTAAAGCTGGTCTTCAGGATGGCCTCAGAAGGACCTCTAAAAGGCAACATAAACATACCCCAAAGCTATCCATTCCTAAGCAGCTGCATATCTGTCTAATTGCTTGCAAAACTGAGAGTTCTTCTGGTATTTACAAGCACAAACTACTTTTTTTTTTTTTTAAAGAAAAAAAATGTAATTATTTTATGAATAGGCTTCATGGTGCAAAAAGAATCTGTGATACAAAAAAAAAAATCAATGTTAAAATTAATCTGAAGAAACTTTTCTGAAAAATTTATTAAGATGGATTCTTAAATCCATCTGTAGATTTATACAGCAGAAGTATTGAAACTCAAAAGAACCGTGAAAATGTATCTGTATGACATATACATATTTCCTAGTATTTATAAAATCTTACCATAAGTCTTCCACTGTAAAATAGCAATAAAATTAACAGACTATGAACACTTTTATTTACACTTAAATAGAAAGAGTTTTGGGTTAACTTAATTTCAGTGTGTAACACTTTGAACCACCATTGAAAAAGGATATGAATGTACCAAAATTTTAATAGCTATTTTTCTAAGAGGATTGAAGGGAGTTAAAATGTACAGGGCAGAGGTGGCACTGAATCGGAAGATGGCTTTTCCTTTGTTCAATACTATAAAGGTCTGAAAAAGAGAAAGAGGAGACGTTTTATAAGTGTGTATTCACTGTAGATGCTAATTTTAAAACTGTTCTAGTGACCAATCATCAAAACTGTAACTTTTTGAATAGCTAATACACAACAAAACATGACTCACTTTTGAAATAAAACTTACTTCCAGTACTTACCTGATATACCTGACATATAAAATATAATGTTAAATATAGAACACTCAATTCATTAATGTTTTTATAATTCTTCTTCATTAAACAACCTCACTGTAGTAATATGACACATTTGCATGATGTGTCTACTGTCAAAAAAAGGTGCAGAAATTATTAACTAAAATTATAACTGCATTTATGTTTTCCCATAGAAAACTCTTCCTGTTTGAAATACCATAGGCAGGGAAACCTTACCTGTGGATGTTAATGTGTTAGTAAGAGAAATCCTTACAGAAACTGATTTAATAGACTACCCAGGCTGAAAGGTTGTCTATTTTTCTCAAATAAATCCATGAGCCAAATAGAAATGGTATGAGATCAAGATCTACAAACACTGCTTTGCTTCCATTGTAGGCCATTATGACTGGAACAGCGTTAACACTACAGCATGGGAAAGGTGGACTGTCAGATTTCTCTGTGGTGTTGAGGAGCTCTTCAACTGCAGGATCAATCAAAGAAGAATGAAAAAGACTGCAGAAGGAAGGCTCAGTAACTTGGAAGAAAGCTGCATGCAGTGGAAGGGATGATTATGGCCTAAATTCAAACTGAATTAAAGGTATTGAAGAATCTGTCCATGAGAAATGTCTAAAATTGCTACTTTTTTTTTTGTTTTGTCAGAGTTTTACATTTCATAGATAGGCTATGATAAAGTCTCCTTGGTTTTCATTATGTTGCTGAAGAAGTGAGCTGTAAACCAGAATGCCAGTGGAAGTGTGGGAAAAGGGTATGTTGGTCTCTTCTGGTGTCCGTGACATTGAGCGTCGCTTCAAGACTATAAGCAAGTGGACTACAGGCTATTTCTGTGAAGGCTGTCTGGCAGACAGCGAAAACATGCCAAGAAAGATGAGTCTCCAGTCTGCTTAGATTTGGGAAGCTTAGTGTGTGTGGACCATGAAGTACAGATACAAATCTCTAGGAGTGCCCAGGAGGTGAAGAGAAATGTGGAGATGAGGGTTTCCACCAGTCTGTGACAGATACAAAGTACTGAGGGCAGTGTAGAAGCAGAGATGAAGCCTTGAGGAAAAACTGTCCCAGTCCCAAATCACTTGCTGGTTTCTTCCCTCAGCTGTCTCTGTGTCATAGCTCCACATGGCACACCTTCCTATAGAGACCAAACCCCTTAAGAGTAAGGGATGTTAGTTGTAAGACTTTATATTATCTTGAGTACAAACTCCAGATGTGTAGGAATGGTACAGGATACGCATTTGATATCCTTGCTTCTGCACAGAAATGGAGAAACTGCGTATGAAACTGAGGACAGTTGAATAAAGCCTGAACTAATGTTTCCAAATTACACTTCCAGTTATGGATTACAGATAACAACCACCTTCAAAGTGTAACTGCAGATGACCTGACCTTAAATGAACCTTTCATTTTAAATACTGAAGCAACCAAGCAGATGAATGATTTTTTGGCACAATGTTGTGAAGTGTCACACCCCAAGGGGGAATGTGAGTTTCCCCTCCCAGTTCTGTCCCAGCACCCCAGAATCACAGCTCAGAAATCTCCAGCTCGCCCTCTTGGCTTTTGTAGGTATGAGGTAGTTGACAAAATACATTAAAAATCATATTTCCTATTAACTTTGTATCTCAGACTACACCGCCTATGTTTAGTCAACCTACATATTTTTTAAAATCTTTGAACACAAGCATATTAAACATACATCTCTTTTTCTAACGAGCCTTATGGAAAATAACAGCGTGCTGGCACAGCTCCAGTTTCAGTTGGAAGCTGCTGCTATTTTAGCTGTTCTACTTTCTGCTGCCCTGCATAAGCAGAACCAACAAGATTTAAATTCTCTACCTCAGTTTTAATTTTTCACTCAAATTATCTTTGTGACCGGAGCCTTTTAGAATGACTTTGTTGGTCCTCTGACTTCTAACCTTAAACATGAACTAAAATTGTATCTTATCTTCGAAGAAGAATTTTCCTAGAAAAAAAATAAATTACAAGTAACAGCTAATATTCAATCTCTGTGTAAGCTTCCCTCCCTGGTACACCTGCTGTATCTCACTCCAGTCTCAACCCATATGCAAGCCAATGTGTAGGCAGTGTGGATGAACATGAAGCATTGTACCCAAAGCTGTCAGGACAAAGTAGACATACACTATGAAAACCTAAATAAATTCTAAAAAAATTGTAAGATTAATGTCTGTGTATGTATACGTTTCAAGGTTTGAGGTTTTATAAAGTGCTTTAATCATTTTACAAAGGCAGGAAACCTGCTAACACTCAAAGTACTTGTGTGTGAGTATAAACTCAAAGAAATCCCTAAAGAGAAGTGCCTTGATCCCAGTTCTGTAACTTCTACCATATTTCATATAAACCCAGAAAATGTTTTCTTAGGAGGGCAAAGAAGGATGTGCAGCATTTTGAGAAGATGCAGCTTAGAGGGAAGAAGAGTCCACACTGAACAAAGATTCGGTCTCCAAGAACCTCTTGGGACAAAGCATTCCCAAAACCTTTTTTCTCCTCTCCTTTCTCTCAGTTAGCTTTAAATGTAGTTTCTGAAAGGCTACATTTAGCAGGCTGACTACTGCTGCTGCATTGCATTTCCACTTCCTACAGTTAAACAAACACCACCTAAAATCTCATAGGACCTTCCGGAAGGCAAGAGCTTCTTGAGCTGGGTCCTTAGCTTCTTGGGAAAAGCCCTAGGGACAGCCAGAACAAGAGACTCATAGCATATTTGAAGCTGGCGTTTCTTGGTTTTGTGCTTATCTTTTGGAATGATGTTTTCTGGCAAGACCTTAAGTTTTGTGCTTTGCTAGAACTTTTCACTTAAGAACTCCTTCACTTACAGCTATCAAAAACACCCAAAGTCACTAGTGCATTCACATTTTCTGATGTAATGAAGTCAAGCAATTTTACAGGATCTTCTTGTTTCTGCAACTGAAGACAATTCTGGGAATCCCAGGAACTAGTGGTTTGATCAGATTTAGGGACTGATATTACCAAGTGCCAGGAGAAAATGTGGCACCTTTTCTGACAGACATCGTTCAATATCCTTCTGGCAAGAGGCAGGGCATGGAGTGGCAATCAACAATGCTCTATCTGTATTACAGCAGGAAGAAAATGAAGTTAAGACCCACTTAGTTCCAAGTATTTTTTCCCTTCTCTTTAATGCAGCAGCCTAGCTTCAGAAGAAAATAGCCAGCCCTTAAAGTATGAAACCAAGTGGACCAGATTTTGATGCATGCCTGCAGGTCAGAATCTTAGGAGGTTAGAGCTGATCCTTTCTCTATAGACAGTGATGTGAACCTCCTGATCCTTTGTGATGGCAGCTTGAGCATGAACAGGCAGCCACTACTATACTGGGAACACACAGATTTGCACTTATACATTAAGTGGAACACAAAAAATGCATAAAGTCGAAGTTCATTTTTACTCAATTTTGGATTAAAAAAAATAAAAAAAAGAGTATTGCAACCATTTAGGATGTTAAACTTCACAGTTCTAAAGACCAGCATTATTGACCACCACAGTCAGCAGCATTTCATTATAATAAAATCATAAGAATATAAGAACAGGGATACAGTTGCTGGCATTCAGGTTACCTGTGATACAGTGTAAATCAATAATACTATCAGGTGTGTAAATTTGCTGTTATGGGCTGTACTGTTATCAAACAGCAGTTGTCAATTTTTTCCTTTTCAATTTCAGGTTAATATTGTGCATGAATACGTCCTCTTTTGTTGTAGGTTTTGCACAGAAGCACAGTTACAAAACCGTAAAACTAGCACACCTATATGGTTCTGTTTCTCTTGACAGGTTTTCCTGTTTTTAACTTTCCATCTCAGGTCTACCTTAACCACAAATTAAGGCACTCACAGCAAGTCAACACATTTATTTAGTCGTCTCTTATTCTGTATTAAACTGTATCAAATCATGGCATGCACAAGCCTACTGCTTAGGAAAAAAGTCCCAAAGATGAAATATAAAACACGCTAGATGATGTTTCATCATTTAATGCATCCAAAAATACAGTGAACTTGTTCAATCTTGCTACAAAAATAGGAAAAAAACCCCTCAGCAAGTGGGATGCAATACTTCTATATGAGGCAAATTATGGATGATTTCACTCATAACTCAAATTTAGAGAAAATATATTCCTAAAATTCTTGCACAGGTTTCCTGAATAAACACTGTGACCATGTTCATTAGTATCATTTGATCAGTGCTCTAATCACTTCTATTCCATATTTGAAAGTTTGGAAGACAAACTGATATAGTTTCTGTGGATAAATCAGTTATAGCTTATGCAGAGATCTTATAGAGATCTGAAACAACAGTGGCATCTGCTAATCCAGACATTATGGATTTATCCTAACTCTTTCTTGCAAATAAGTATTTTCCTTCATTCTAGTGTTTTTCATTAGATCCCTATCATTTCAGATAGATGCTTCGCCAGGTACAAATATAAAATCTATAACGATTGTGCAGCAGTTGTCAGACCGTTACATGGGGATAGGGTGGGCTGATTGATTCCTTGGCTTCACAAATGGAATTCAGAGAGGGATAAAGAGAAAGCTGAAATGTTAAATGATACAGAGGTAAAGGCACTGAGCATTACAAGTCCTTTGCTTCTTACTGGAGATGTTCCCTTCTGTTTCAGGCATTTCTCAAACTATTTCTCCTGAGACTTGAAGGAGCATCAACTGCTGTCAATGCTTTTAAAAGACAAGTGAGACAAGATAAGTCTTTACAGAATTCACATACAGCTATATAAGAAAATCTAGGAATTAGATACTTTAAAGTCAAATTACTGATGTAAAATTGAAATAGACATTGGAATTTCTGTTAGGAAAGTCTATTTTCCTCCTACTGAAGGAGAATTGTAGTGTGTGATAAATTTTTGTCTTGTCTTTGACTGACAGGGCTGTTTCTATTTCTGTCCTGCAGAAGATCAAAGCACATGCATAGAGAGAATGTGTGGACTTCAGCACAAAGAAGAGAATCTCAGTGGGTATGTGACTTGCTTGTAAAAATTATTTAATGTGCAAATAAAAAGATTCTTCCTTTCAAATAGTACAGGACATTGGCTGAATATGTTCAGCTGGTTTTACTCCATTTCTTGCAACTCCGTCATCACACCTGCCTGATGCAGCAAGTTTTCAGCTCCATCTGTGAAGGGACTGAAAAGGTCTTCCATTTCTAAGGGCTCTAGAAGCGTACCTGTAGGTCATACCTAGCATGTATCTGTTTTCACTGTTAGACACCCAAGATGGACTGATTTGACTATAAAGGTCCAGGATGAGCTGTGGGCAGGTAGGAATATAATTATATGTGGTTTTGTATCATAAACAGACACAATCAGTACAGAAGTCTACAAGGCCTGCTTTTATAGAAATGCATCTTTTATCTTTGTAGAACTGTGATTTAAAGATAAATCTTCATACACGGTGAATGGCAGATAAAGGCTCTTTCAGAGGCACCAAATAATAAAGATAAAAATATTGTTCTTTCACATAGTATTTTCTCTCTTGTCAAAATAGGACTCATAAATCACACGAAATTTAGCAAGCTAAGACACTTAGAACACAGCACTTTGTGAAAATCAAAATAACTCCTGTCTTGATATTTATAGAGTTTTCATAATCACAGTACGTAATAATTAAAGTATCACCCAAACTAGCTATTGCTATAAACCATGAACCTTTCCTGCTGTATATGGGCTGTGTAACAGAATCATACTGAAAGGATTTCAGGGCTGTTAAAGGCCAGTTCCACCATAAACTTTTAAATCAGTTTTACACTCTCTTTATGACATTTTCTGCTTATCCATGTGTTTCTCTATTGATTCCATAAATTTCCCAAGAATTTACTATCAAAGTAGATTTCTGGGAACAAAATGTGGTATGCATTGGTTCATGCTATCAGTTTTAAATCTGAAGAACTTTAGAGAAAATGTGGTAAGTTGGTGTACTCGGTTTCAACATATCTTCACTTTTTTTAAAGTTTGCAAAGTATGTATGTCATCTGTTATGTGTACATGCATTTGTATAGGCATTATATATTGCTTATAATCAAAGACAATATAGCTTTTATATATAAATGTTCCTTTGATATAAATTTGATTATATTTTCACACTATTTATTTATACTGTGCTATATCCACTGTACAACCGTATTATACAATCAGTCATGTTACATTTATTGCCAATTTTATTAATTTAATTCTAAAAATAATATTACTGTAAAATTCCTCCTTAAGTAAAGCAGGAGGACCAGTGTGCCAATGGCACATGAGGGTAAATGTATTCTAAAACCATACACTAGCTAAATCAACTTTTTATAACTAGAAGATATTAAATATTTATTTACTAACTTTCTGGAAGGCAGAATGTATATGTATCTCTGGCATCAAACATTTTCTGCTCTTGTTGTACACCTAGTCCTTTTAGCAATGTTTACCTGTTTCCACATAATTAGAATTACATTTTCCTAGATGGTTGCCAATTCACAGACTGAAGTAGCAAGCTATATTACCCACTGCACAGAAATGAAATTAGCATGATAAAGCATTCCAAATGCTGGCACATGAACAGGATTGATATTAGACTCACTTTTTTATTGATGTAATACGGGTCCATGTCTTCCAAGGGCTCAGACACCATTCCTGGAGGTATGTCGCCATATATAAACGGAAGTGTTTTTCCTGCCTCCAAATCACTGTTTGGCTTTGGCCCATTTTCATCATCATCTTTACGATCTTGTTTAGAATTCTTAGCTTTTTCTGCAGCAATGCGTTGTTCAATAGCTGCAAGAGACTCTCTAGTGAAGTATTGGAAGCTGTCTGGTCCTGGTGGTACAAGCACTGACTGCTCCATCTTTTCATCCTGCACATTTTAATTACCATTTATTCTTCTGCATAGGAAAACACTGAAAGAAAAGAGAAAATAAAATTCAAACAAACAAACATTTAAACAAATAAAAAGCAACTCTGTGTATTTTAAGGTAGTAAAGTAGTGGTTCTGAGTAAGTTTTTGTATGGATAGTTATTCTAGTTTATAAGAACAATTGCCTATTTTTATTTCAATTTAACTGTTACTACATATCTGGTTCTTTATTCAATATCTGTAACTGGATAATTGTGGAAGTATTCTAATATACATAGAATCATAGAACGTTTAGGGTTGTAAAGGACCTTAAAGATCATCAAGTTCCAACCCCCCTGCCATGGGCAGGGACACCCTCCACTAGAGCAGGTTGCTCAAAGCCTCATCCAGCCTGGCCTTGAACACCTCCAGGTATGCGGCATCCACAGCTTCCCTGGGCAACCTGTGCCACTGTCTCACCACCCTCACAGTAAAGAAATTCTTCCTAATATTGCAACTGAGAAAAATCCAATGAGAAAAAAAAAAAAAAAAAAAGTCGTCCTGTTAAAACTACAAATCTGACATCTTTCATGCTGCTGAATAATTTTCTGATTACATCAGACATACAGATGAAATGTGGTTTTGGGCACACAGTGGTGCATATATCCCTCATGCCTGAATGTAAAGAGATACTTGCAGTCTCCACCCATTGCTGGGGTCATTGCAAAATGATCAGTCAGCCTTTCAGGAGACTTAAGGGTCAACGCATGTCAGTACTCCTTGAAATAAGCTAGATATATGGAAAGACAGAGAAGTAAGAATACAAGAGATGGTGGGGGGGAAACATTAAAACAACTGAAAAGATGACAAACAAAACCAGAAATTATGGAAAGAAGCTGAAAAAGATTAAGAAAAGAGAGCAAAAAAATGGAAACAAGAGGAGACCATAAACGAATGTAGAAAGAATTAAGAGGAGAAAGTGAAGAATGTGCAAAGAAAAAACCAGGAAGACTGGAAGATTACTAATATAAAAAAGCAGAGATGAAAACAAAGAAAAACAGAAAAGTATGTGGAAGAACAGAGTTCTGGGAAAGAAGTAGAAAAGGAAGCAAATGTAGGTAGGGTTAAACTTTCTAGTAAGGACAAATCAATAAGGAGAAAAAGAAATTAGATAAGAAACAAAGGGAGAAGAAAGAAAAACATAGCTGGGACATGAAAGAGGTGGTCACTAAAAGATACTAAGTAATAACTCCTAAATCCTCTAGATCATTAATACCAGGGTGAGCACAAACATCTCAATCACACATATGTACACATATATATTGAGTAGTGGTATGTAGTGGATAAAATAAGAAAGAGGGGTCAAAGTGCTTATGGGCTATATAACCCAAATTTTCTTGATTTCTCAGAAAAAGTAAAAAAACAAATTACACCTGGATGTACAGAATCATCACCCACAACCAGAGGAATGGCTTCTAAAGAATCGAGGTGGCAGATTTGTCACTGTAAAAAATTAAAGGAAGCTAATCTCCTACCAGAACACAAAGGATTGACCCACACAAAGTTTAGACTCATGCCAAAACCAGTTCTCTAAAGCTTTCCTTTCTTTCTAACCTGAAAGGAATTGTAATCACCCTGTTCTGTCTCCATTATGGGGAAAAAGGATATAAAATGTACCTCAACCAACAAGGATTTCAACTCTTCTTTAACTTCACATAGAGAGCACCCTCCAGACATTCCCCAGCTCCCCATTTTGTGGTTCTATTTACTTCTGGGAACTGACTTTCCAGTCTCTTAACTACTGAACAGTTGTAAACTCACAGTATGTACACTCTGACATTATTTCTTAATGTTCAATCACACCTTGTGGATAATGGGGAAAGAAGCAAAAAAACCTATTAGCCACACCACTGTCCTTGACTGACACCCAAACATCTCTGTAAGTGGTACCACAAGTTGGGAAACAGATCTCATAGTAAGCCACTATTCAAATATTACGGAAGCCACAGCTGTAGGTGGATACTGCTTGCTCTGCAGTCTTCAGGGAGATACAGAGACTCAAAAGAGACAGCCAGGATTTCTTCTCTGCTCATTTTATTTGGCAAAGAAAGGGATGAAGACCTTCTCTCCTCTTTGGTCCCTTCTCTCCTCAGCATAGATATAATCCCCATGGCCACCAGCAAATCAGGCTACACAGCTGTGTCTGCCTTTCCCTCTCCTCCTCACTGTGAGACCCAGGAGCCCGGTTTTCCCCTTTGCCATTTTTCCTTTGAAAATTCTCTTCATTGTCTGAAAACCCCACTGTACACAGCACTCAGTGTTCCTTGCCATGGTGGCCAGCGAGGGCAGAGCAAGCCAAACGAGTCATGGCCCAGCAGGAGGGAGGTGCTGGACAGCAGCAAGGGCAATCTCATGTTTTGAAGAGGAAGGAAATGGACAGCCAGCGAGCAGTCAGCAGAGATGAGCTCTGAAACCCTATGGTGCTCTGTCAGGATCACCTTTTAGTTCAGCTGAATGTCCTCAACAGGCACGCAGAACAACGACGTAAACCTGCCGGATTTGCCTGCAAATGCACAGAAACAAGCTACCTCATAGCGATTAGTTAGGTTTCAAAAACATTTGATTCAGCTACTGTGTTTAAATACTGAGTTTAAAAAAAGCAAATACTGTGGGTTTTTCTCATAATACCTGTATTTTTTTTTTCGTACAAAGGAACATTACATTATTTTTCTATAATTAATCCTTGAATGTTCTCAGGTCTATGAAATGTATATGGAGCTAGCCAGATATACACCTTTAGATGTATCTAAATCTAAGTAGGCTGTACTTAACAAAATGTTTCAGAAGACTTTATGAAGATTAAATACTTTTTTATCATCTACTTAACAGATTAGAGGATAATATTCCAGATACATTTTCCTTTTTTCAAGCATTCCCATGATTATAAGTCTTCAGAATTGCAAACAGAAGTCTTCTGTAAATGCAAAAGTCAATATTAAATACATACAGAATTCACTACAGTCTTTAATCCCAAATCACTTTAATCTGTCATATCACTGTGGTTAACTAAAAGGTCTGAATTTATTCTCACTTATCTGTGTAGAAAAAATTGATACCAGGCAAGTTAATCAACTGATATCCTTCTATCAAGTGATTTATTAAATATTAGTTGAATAACTACAGATTGCTTACATGATACAAATGGCCTTTTTTTTTAATAGCATTACACTGGTAATTCAACAGAGAAAATAATATGTAATATAAAAACCAGAGATTTCTTCCTTTCCCACTCTCCCGGACCGAACGAGATTTTTTTCCTTCATCTCCAACTGTGTTTGAATGACTGTTTTATGAGCAGTGTATCAACAGGCAAAACATTTCAAATTTTGGAAAATAAGGTACTCAGAATATTTGAGAATAGACACATTCTGTTTCTTCTGAAATTTCCCAGGCAAAAAATACATTAATAGATACATCGTAGTATGCATTGTTGTGAGCCAGATAATTCCAGAGCACACTCAATATACTCTGTGTGCAGGGACCATCTGTAAACCACGTGCAGAATAAGTCTGAAGTTATTCAGCTGCACCTGTGTAATTGCACAATGCATAGTTGATCTGCCCATGCATATTAAGTCTGCAGCATTCAGAACTGGATTAGCTATGCCCACACTGACCATCTGGGCAATACATATTAAATTGGTTCAGCACTTCCCTGATGGAGGTTTGCTACTGCACACCTTGTGTAGTTGTAGATCTACACGTATCATAGAATTGCAGAATGGCCTGGGTTGAAAAGGACCTTAAAGATCATCTAGTTTCAACCCCCCTGCTGTGGGCAGGGTTGCCAACCACTAGAGCAGGCTGCCCAGGACCCCAAACAGCCTGGCCTCAAATGCCTCCAGGGATGGGGCATTCACAACTTCTCTGGGCAACGTGTTCTTGAGAATAACTCAAGCTGTCAAATATCCAGAGCTTCTGAAATTTTCTAGTCTTCAGATTTCACCTAAATAAATTTTCCAGGCAAAAAAAAAAAAAAAAAAGGGACATGTCAGCAAAAAGATGGAGAGATGGTGCCTTGTCTAACAGTGGTTCCAAACCTAGCCTTTGAAGAAGTCAATTAGATGATACATAACTCCCTGAAAAGAGACATGTTTGAACAAGAAGATTATTTCCTAACCTGATAAGTGTTTGGTTTACTGTTAGCTTTCATGTTCCTCATGCCTTCGTAACAAATAGTGACGAGTTTCTGGAGAGTTTGGTCAGGAGGACCTTAGCATACATGTAGAACTACAGTACTGCAAATACCTAAACTTCAGCAAGCTGATTTCTTTATGTTATCCATATGCTTAAATCAAAAACTGTAACATGCTTTGATGTTTGATCTGCTGTGACAACATCCATAAATTAAAATTTAGCTTCCATTTGCCACAGAATATAATGAATGTGAGATGCTGAAGTTCTATTGGATCCTTTGTGCTAGAAATGTAGGAATTTAATCGTAACAGACTAGTTCAAACAACACTTGTGGTACAATAGGTCTGGTTCAGCTTTATACTTTCACCTACATAAACATCTAGATAAAAGATTACCTTCAAATCCGAATGCTGAAATCAAACCTGAACTCTAAAAAAAACAATCTTCTTTCTGCCTCTCCCTGCATCCTTCAGGTGCCAAGATTCTCAACAATAAAACTCTTAATATTAGCCAGCATTTAATTTTACTCAATTAACATCATAGCAATATAATTAACTTTAAAAAGCTGTAGCTTCTCAGATTTACCATGTAGCAATGCCCCATGTTTTCTAGAACATACTGCATAGGGAATAAACATGAATCTTTCAACAAATACATTGCACATTATTTTGCACTGCTACTTGCAGAATTAATGACTCACAGGACTCTTCATTATATACATCACAAAACATGATTTGTTACATTGGCAATATAAGAAATAACTAATTTCTTACTACTAACAAAAAATAAAAATTACAGTAAATCAAATGAAATATT